AATGTTCATCCAAGAACAGAGGATGTCACAAGAAATGTACTTATACTCATCCACTCCAAAAATAATATTAGGTTACACTTTATTTTAATGTGTCATTGTTACAGTGTAATTACACATTTAAGCAGAGTAATATTAATGAACAACATGTACTGACTATAGGGTTAGGGTAGGATTAGGTTTAGGGTTAGTTGCATGTACTGTAATTATGCATAATTTACTGTTAATGGTAAGTACATGTCACAAGGACACTGTAAAATACAGTGTTACCTAATATCATTATTGTATCCAAATTTTGCATGTAATAGGAACTTAGAAGTGCACTTTTTTAGTTAGCTTAGCAGCATCAGACTGCCGTATCTGTGTGGTTTCTGGAGCGGCTGAAATGAGTCTCTTACGTGGTTCCACTTGAGTTAGTAAGCGAGACAGTGACGCTAGTGTCGATGTGTTTAATTAACTCCTTGTCTGATTCAGTAATTCAGAGAGACCTGTGGTGTGCATAAACCCCTCATCAGACCCGCTAACCTTCAGCACAGGAGCCCTGCTCTCAGCGGGACCTCTTTCTCAAACCATTACACCGCTCACTCGCTCGCCCTCACCCAGATGCTCTTTCTCTTCGCCTCGCTGTCAGGAACACTGCTATAGGTGATCATCGATCTCAGTCTCAGTCGCTCAGGCTTCGGCTGGATACGTTCAGCAGGTTTTTATCACTGCCTCTTTTTTTGGAGGCTCTTATATTTGTATGGAAGCTTGTTTCCGTCACAGAATAAAACATTTACAATTCTGACTTTATTTCGCAGAATTGCGCGAATTTAAAGTCAGAATTGTGTGATATACAGTCAGAATGGCAAGAAATAAGCCAGTCCAAAAAATAAACTCACAATTCTGACTTTATATCTTAATTCTGATATTCTCAGAAAAAAGTCCCATTCTAAGGAAAAAAAAGACTTTTGTCTTAGAATTGCGAGTTTATATCTCACAATTCTGACTTTATAACACGCAATTGCGAGTTTATATCTCACAATTCTGACTTTATAACACGCAATTGCGAATTTATATCATGCAATTCTGACTTTCTATACTACATTTGCTAGTTATAAAGTCAGAAATGCGAGATATAAAGTCGCAATTGTGTGTTATAAAGTCAGAATTTTGCAATTATTGCATTATCTCTCGCAATTGCGTGTTTATATCTCACAATTCTGACTTTATAACACGCAATTACGAGTTTATATCATGCAATTCTGACTTTCTATACTACATTTGCTAGTTATTTGGGGTTTCGTCTGGTGTAAATGTGGCATCTGATCACACACAGCCCACGATCTGAGGAATCACTGCAGCATGAACACAATTACGGTTGTAGTTTCTTCAAATCACAAACCTCACTACTTATCATTAGTCTTGGTTTCTGCTGCTGTTGTCGTATTTCTGTCCCAGAAACCGAGCCTTATCGGTGGGCTTATTTGTTTTATTTCTGGTATAAGCGCTGAAATCCAGCACTGTCAGATTAGTTCAAGCTGCAGTCTTTTCAGATTAATATTATATGAGCGATTTGGCACGTGATCAGCTTTATTAAACCTAATGTACAAACTCTAATGTAAGGTGTATATTTAACAAGAGCAACAAGCTTTACACACTTTTTGACAGATAACTTCTCTAGATGTGAATGATAGGAATCTGGCAACTTGTGTTTTTAAAATACCTTCTTTGGCCCAATTGTACGGCACCATTTTATGAATGCAATCCCAGAATGCATTATGATAAGCTCAGTGAATTTGATTTGAGAAAAAGCGGTTTATCCAACTTATTTTTCACGTAAGAGCAGGACGGCCATTTGTGACACGAGTGTTTCTGGTTTCTGTCGTCATTCTCTTCCAGTTATTTTACCTGCACAAAAACAGCTTGTTATTGCAAACTGGTATTTGTTATCATATTTAAATCTCATTATCATAAATACACTGGTTGTAGCGCAAAAACTTGTACTGTTTACTAGTTATTCGCGCCTAATCAATCAGAAATCTCACACAATCACTTACTTCTGCATTGAAAAAATAAGGTGAATAAAAAATCACTCGATACCAAAAAGTGTCAACAAACATAGTAAATGTAATCTTTTGGACAATTAGTCTGTTAAAAAAATGTAATGTTCATTAGATTATTACATAGTTTGATGTTTATTACCAAGTGTTGTTGTTTTTTTGGTACAATTAGAGATTAGATGTTAGACTAGTAATTTTGGTTTATTTAAAAAGTAATTGTTGACTATTAAGTATTGATTAAGTGTAACAGCAACATAATTCAGTGTTTGTTAATGACAACTGTCTTCAAGAACATGTGACAATGCTGAATGGTCAATACATCTCAAAACTCATTATTGTGTCTCTAAAAATGATTGTGCTTATGAATATATGCCTTTACTGGTTCTCCATAACCTAGGTATTATGACTAGGTATTAACCAGCTTGAGACCACTTACCAGCTTAAAACAACTGAGACAATACATGGAAACTTCACATAATGAACATAATGATGACGTCTAAACGACAGAACGGTCAAGACTTGGGAAATTCAAAATATGTGCACATGTTTCCTCTCAAAGCTCACAGCATGAGAAAGTTGAATAACATGTGTAAAGCAATTTCGTCAGACAAAAAAAAAAGTGTGTTTCTCCTACAAACAACCAGAGGAGCATGAAGTGGGATCTCCTCAGGGATGTGTGTTTGCACGGAAACAATTTCAGCAATGATCCTTTCTCACGAGATATTCTCCTTCATTCCAGATGACATCCTCCAAAATCCCACCGCAGCAACACGGTTAACCTTGAGAAGAGCTCGACCCGTGCAATGTTTTATTACACGTCAACCTTCTCATCCCATGACCAACACTAGCCAATGGACACAAAAGCAAAGGGACTGTATAATGACCAGTGTTGGGCAAGTTACTTTTAAAAAGTAATTAGTTACAGTTACTTCTTCCAAAAAGTAGCTAAATTAGTTACTCAGTTACAAATTTGAAAAGTAACTAGTTACTTAAGAAAGTAACTATTGCGTTACTTTCAAGTAAAATTCAATTTTAAATGCTCAAATGTGACCCCACCTCTACCCTGTCCGACTATGTGTTATGATGGATCGTTCGCAATTCATGAGCGTTTGCCGTTAGTGATGATGGGTCGTTCGCAATTCATGAGCGTTAGCCGTTAGTGATGATGGGTCGTTCGCGAATGAGCGTTAGTGATGATGGGTCGACTCGTTCGCGAATGAGCGTTAGTGATGATGGGTCGACTCGTTCGCGAATGAGCGTTAGTGATGATGGGTCGACTCGTTCGCGAATGAGCGTTAGTGATGATGGATCGACTCGTTCGCGAATGAGCGTTAGTGATGATGGCTCGACTCGTTCGCGAATGAGCGTTAGTGATGATGGATCGACTCGTTCGCGAATGAGCGTTAGTGATGATGGGTCGACTCGTTCGCGAATGAGCGTTAGTGATGATGGGTCGACTCGTTCGCGAATGAGCGTTAGTGATGATGGATCGACTCGTTCGCGAATGAGCGTTAGTGATGATGGGTCGACTCGTTCGCGAATGAGCGTTAGTGATGATGGCTCGACTCGTTCGCGAATGAGCGTTAGTGATGATGGATCGACTCGTTCGCGAATGAGCGTTAGTGATGATGGGTCGACTCGTTCGCGAATGAGCGTTAGTGATGATGGATCGACTCGTTCGCGAATGAGCGTTAGTGATGATGGCTCGACTCGTTCGCGAATGAGCGTTAGTGATGATGGGTCGACTCGTTCGCGAATGAGCGTTAGTGATGATGGGTCGTTCGCGAATGAGCGTTAGTGATGATGGGTCGACTCGTTCGCGAATGAGCGTTAGTGATGATGGGTCGACTCGTTCGCGAATGAGCGTTAGTGATGATGGGTCGTTCGCGAATGAGCGTTAGTGATGATGGGTCGTTCGCGAATGAGCGTTAGTGATGATGGGTCGACTCGTTCGCGAATGAGCTTTTGATGACTCTAAGAGCCGGCTCTTTTAGGTGAACGTCGGGAGCTGGCTCGCATATCTGAAGAGCCGACTCTATTTTTACAAATTTAGCCAATAGAAATGAAATAATTATGTAATAAAAATTAAAATATTATAGTCAAAGTCATTTAAAGAGCCGTTTGTGAGCCAAAAGAGCAGGCTCTTTTCAGTGAGCCGAGTCAAAAGAGCCGAACGCCCATCACTACTATGCGTGCTTTCGAACACCCGCCCAACTCTACCTCTGATTGGCTTACAATGACATTTTACTCTACCTCAGCCAATCATCAGCATTTATGCGCTTGTCTCGTGCTCTGCCCACTAACCAAGGAAGAACAGTAAAAAAAGTATTTGCCTCTCGCTCAGAGATCTAGTTGGTCTGATGAAAAAAAACCAGCTTCATCAGTTATAGTAACGCGCCGCATTTTTGGGCAGAAACGGTAACGGCGTTATTAAGATGAGAAGAGTAATCAATTAGATTACTCGTTACTGGAAATGTCGTTAGCATTCCCATCACTGATAATGACGAACACTGGAGTAAACTCATCATTACACAGGGAAATGACCGGTGCTGGTTAATGGAGCCGTGTTTTATTCTGTAGCTGAATCTTTTAACGGGTCACACATCACCTCTAACACCTTGATTTATATCCGCGTGGAATGTATGTATAATTTTAGTTACAGTTGCTCATTCGGGAAGCTGAGACTGTGAATTGCATTGCCAATTCCTGAAACGAATGAAACGAGAGCGTTTGCTTTATGCGGCGTAGGACGATGGATGATACGAGATAATCTCGGCTTGCCATCTCATCTCTCATCTCTCCCTCATCATCGGGCCATGATTAGCATGCATTGGCCAAAAGGATCAGGTGCAAATGTGTTTCAGAGAGAGGTGTAATGGCGCCTGGCTCACCGAGAGCCAAAGGAGAACCCTGCAGATCTGCCACATGCTGAGAGAAGCTCATTTGTACTGAAGGACTCACGGAAAGCTGTGTAGAGCTCCTGAAGGGTCAGGTGACCGTCGTTGTTGTAGTCGTCGTAACGCAGGAGGTCTTGCATGCTGCACTCCATTAGGATGTTTTCCAGATGCTCCTTTATGGAGATCTGTGAAAGAACAGGAGTTGAACAACGTTATCAATTACAGGTGTGATGAAGCTCTTGGCTTATACCTCAACATAGATGTTCTTGATGCAGATTGGTTGGAACATGCTATGAGTGTTAATCGAAGAGTTGGTAAAACCAAGAACCAAGAAGCAAGCCAGCAGAAACTGAATTAAACATGAGTTTGACTGGAAGCGGAGGATTATGAAACCGGGACTACTTTCAGTCTTTCATACACTGAACAAAAATGGTAACTTCTAAGTTAACTGGTTTAATTCAAAGCAAATCCACCTAAATACATTTAATTATATCAACAAAACTAATTTTTAAGCATTAAATCGGGTAGAAATAGCTCTTCAAGGTAAGAATTGCACGTAACCTATTTTTACAGTGGATGACTCAATTACTGTACTGAAAATAAAAACAGTAGGTATCAATGTACTGTAATATTGCTTCAATATTTGTTTTCTTAGCAGAAGATTTAAGATAATATCCCGGTAAAATTGTAAAACTCAAATGAATGTGCATGTATGTATTTATTTGGTGAGTATCTGTGAAACAAGCAAGATAATGTACACCCTTAGAGGAAAAGGTTCGGTAACACTTTACTTGAAGGGGTGTGCATAAGACTGACATGACACCTTCATAATCATGACATGACACAGGTTGTATGCTTGTTTATGACAACTGTCATTAAGTGTCATTTGCTCAATTATGACATTTTTTATGCAAATATGACATTGTTTGAGATGTCTTTGTTATGACACCTTGACATAAGCCAATACATCATAACCGGTCAGTGACAACTTGACATTACTAAGACAACACAACCTGTCATAAATATGTCATAAACATGACATAGCAGATTAATGATCAAACTTAAGAAACCACTTAGCTTTATGGGTTTACATTACATTAAACTGTCAGGTAATAGGTTTTGACATTGGCTGTCACGAAGCCATTATAACCTTTTAATGACAAATTCAATGTGTACCACTGTAGTTGAGGTCAAGAAAAATATTCATGTCACAGTTATAATGGCCTCATGACAGCCAATGTCAAAACCACATGACAGTTTAATGTAATGTTAACCCATAAAGCTGCTTTCTTAAGTTTGATCTTTAATCTGCTATGTCATGGTTATGACATATTTATGAATAAACCCCTTCAGGTGTGTGTGTGTGTGTGTGTGTGTGTGTGTGTGTGTGATCTCAGAATAAACCCCTTCAGGTGTGTGTGTGTGTGTGTGATCTCAGAATAAACCCCTTCAGGTGTGTGTGTGTGTGTGTGTGTGTTATATCAGAATAAACCCCTTCAGGTGTGTGTGTGTGTGTGTGTGTGATCTCAGAATAAACCCCTTCAGGTGTGTGTGTGTGTGTGTGTGTGTTATATCAGAATAAACCCCTTCAGGTGTGTGTGTGTGTGTGTGATCTCAGAATAAACCCCTTCAGGTGTGTGTGTGTGTGTGTGTTATATCAGAATAAACCCCTTCAGGTGTGTGTGTGTGTGTGTGTGTGTGTGTGTGTGTTATATCAGAATAAACCCCTTCAGGTGTGTGTGTGTGTGTGTGTGATCTCAGAATAAACCCCTTCAGGTGTGTGTGTGTGTGTGTGTGTGTTATATCAGAATAAACCCCTTCAGGTGTGTGTGTGTGTGTGTGATCTCAGAATAAACCCCTTCAGGTGTGTGTGTGTGTGTGTGTTATATTAGAATAAACACCTTCAGGTGTGTGTGTGTGTGTGTGTGTGTTATATCAGAATAAACCCCTTCAGGTGTGTGTGTGTGTGTGTATGATCTCAGAATAAACCCCTTCAGGCTGATGTAGACCTGATCCTGATCACCCCGTCGGGTTTATTCTGAGATAACAACCGGCTGGATGTACATTATCGCTTACTTAAACCCTTCCAGAGTAAAGGGCAATGACTGTGCACTATCCCTCACTTGTTATCGGTCCTCTTACCTCTGCCAGCTCTTCACCGCTCAGACGGCCGTCCTGGTTTCGATCTATATACTTGAACATGGTGTCCACCAGAGCCCTCCTCTGGTCCATGGCGTTCGGCTCCCCGCTCGTGGCGCTCCTGGGCTGCATGTCCAACAGCATGTTCTTCAGCTTGTTGTACTCCGCCATGGTGCACGTGTCACCTGTAAACACACACCACAAGAATTTAATTATCCGGATGCGAGCGAAGGCAACCGAGGAGCCGATTTGCATTTATGCACGGACGTGTTTGCGATTTGCATTTCTGGACAGTCGTTCAACGCGGGGGTCCCAATTAATTGACTGTAATCCTGCGATTTACACTGAAAAACAAAAGGTAAACATTCTCATTCCGACACTTTCGCCGCCGAGGAGGGATTAACAAGCATGTTTTAAACTGTCACATTAATTCCCATGCGGCTCCGCAGCACTTATGTCTATGAAAGACGGCGGGGAAAATGAGAACCATGATTAATCAAGTGTGGTAGTGACTGTTTATGCCTTACTGGCAATAAAATTATGCAAACACAGCCCACCCGCTGAGCCGCTCTTTAAGACCCCTCGAGTGGGAGGAAGATTGTTCGGTGTATCCGGCGCGGAGGCAGAGCTAAAGATGACAGCGGACGGAGGCAGCGTACACAAGGCTTTGCTCGACTGATGAGAAGAGGAAATATGATATGAATAAGTCATTAGGAGACATCCCTCTACATGACGGATCAGAGCTGCCCGCTGAGAGGAGTCTCACCACAGCCAATGGAGAAAACAGCAATGACCGCGGTAACGTCTGATCACCGCAGGAGGATTCAGTCTTCACAATCTCAAACACGAGTCCTTGCCTCATCTCCTCTCAGGCAAACATCTGAACCCAAGGCCACGCTCACACTTTAATCAGAGCCGATGTCGTCTTCTCTTTTCCTTAATTATTTAGCAAACATTTGTGACAATGATGACAATCGTTCTTTATTATTATTGCCACTTTCCAAAAAAAAAGAAGTTTTTTAAAATTATTATTTCCTAATTTTCTCTGTAAATATCGGTGGCTTTGAAACTTCTTGGTGGCTTCTTGACTATTAGTCAAAGCCAGATGACACTATTTGAAATCTAATTGTTTTCTTTTATAATTGTCACTCTCCTTAAATTTGATTACAATTTTTTAAACATATTTTATATTTCTCATCTGGTCCATTTGTACAATTTCACCTGGTCCATAATGTCAAGTTTGGCAAAAATCTGTCTTATCTTAGTGTTGTGGTTAACTGCAAACTTGAAGGATTTTTGATTTTATTTTTGTGGTTTATTTATTTATTTATTTTTTTGTGTGTAGTTGTGTTTGGTCCTGTCCTGTACTGTTTATTTGTCTGTAAAAAAAAAAAAAAAAAAAAACGACAATAAAAGTAATATTACAAAAATGTATATCGACCCCTATCTGGGTCAAATATGGACAAACCCACGCATTGGTTTACATTTTTTTACCGAACGGTTAGGTTTGTCCATATTTGACCCAAACATGGGTTGAAACAAGCATTTTTAGAGTGTATGTAGTATTTTATTTGACTCTTTTTTCCCCCATTGCGTTGAATATAGCTCTGCTAAAACGTTTAGACTATCAGACTCAGATGATTTTGACAGCTTTGTACAATAAAAGATTATTTAATGAATATCTGTCAGTTCCTCTATAACAGTATCACTGACAGACGACTCATTGGTGGCTAATGAACATCAGCCTAAACCACACTCGTTATACAGGACTTACTGTATGTAAGACTGATTAGCAGTTTTGAAAATATGTCGTTTTTCCTAAAACATTTACTGTGGTTTGAAGGAAAATTCGGTTGTGACAACATGAAGTTTCAGGGAATGAAGGGAATCGTCCGTGTGTTATTGACAGGGATTATTTGTGACCGATAAGACTTTCACTATATGTCAAGTGTTGTGACATCTTGTTGGCATGTTTGAAGGAGCTGAGTGAAATTTGATATGCTTACAGAAATAAATAGCCATAAACGAGACTAATTCTCTTATTTCATACTGCATTTGTCGAATAGTCACACCCTCATATATCTGCAGATGCATAGAAACTACATCAGCTTGAATAATCAGCACTTATATTGGGATTATGGGGAGATATTGTATCGTGTCGGTGAGATTTACATATCCTCAATGTCAAGCCTGTCAGTTAACATGACATCAGGGTCATATGGGCGAACCTGATGTTTTTACCCACAATCCTGCGCTGATCAGTCTCTGGCGACTCTGAGAGGAAGGTGTTTCGTTTCAAACATGGTAATGAAGTACATCTATCACTCGACTGCTGAGGGAAAGGTCAGCGCTGAAACGTATAAATTGTTATGACAAGCCATAAATCTGAGTTAATCCTCAAATATCTCCCTTTTCCCCATGAAAGGTCTCACACACTATTTTCTTTTCATATAGCTCTTCTTCTTTTCACTTTCTTTCACTCACTCATGCACACACACACACACACACACGTCTACCATGAAGCACATTTCAGAGAGAACAATCATATTGGTCCATGACTCGCGTTGTATTGCATTACTGCATAAACAGTTGTGTTGGTCCATTATTCTCTCTAACTCTGACTTTCTGTGTTTCAGATTCAGTCCACTTACACATTTCAGATACACTGTTTATATTAACCCAGGCTCATTGAAGAAACAAACCTGTGGTGAAATTTCTGCAAAATTGTTACGTTGCTAGTGTGTTATGTGTTTTGTCAAGACTTGAAAAAGTATTGATTAGAAATTTTGTAATATGAAACATGACACCGCACTAGTGGGAGGAGCCAGGTAAAATGATTTAGAGTAGTTTGTGCGTGATAACGCAATGTCCAATTTCAAAACGGTTTTCGCGGGATGAACTTTGAGTGTTTAAGCTTTTGATTGATACCTAATTTATGATGATTGCTAAAACATGTGATAGGGAAAAAGGCAATTAAAAAGCACACCAAATGTCCAACACGACAGCTAACCGGCGCTAACGCGACACTGACAGTTAACTCTTTCCCCGCTGGTGTTTTTATTTTAATTTTTTTAAGTTGGCAGCCTTCAATCGCTTGTTTCAGCTTCTTTCTCGTCTGTTTTGATCAGGAGATTCAGTACTCTTTCAGAAGATGCATTATAACAGCCCTACTGTATAACAGTGACAACATGGATTGAGCCGTGTATTAAAACGATTATGGTCCCACTTTATTAAGTGGCTTTAAGTACTATGTACTTGCATTGAAATATAAGTACATTGTACTTATTGTGTTCATGTTGTATTGTAAAACACTTGCGCTGCTATTGAGGTGTGACACGGGTAAGGTAACACTCTAAAAAATGCTGGGTTGTTTCAACCCAAATTTGGGTCAAATATGGACAAACCCAAATGTTGGGTTAAAAATGTAATTTAAAAATTTAACCCAACTTCAACTTTCACTTTCAACTGTAATTTTTTTAATTACATTTGTAACCCAACATTTGGGTTTGTCCATATATTTGTGAAGGTGTAAGGGAAGGTCAACTGTGTAATTACAAATGTAATTACAAAAATTAATAACAGCTGTAATTACATGCAGGTATTTTTAAAATATAAGTACAATGTAAAAACATGTATGTACACAATAAATCCATTGTATCAAATCATTAATTTCAATGTAAGTACATAGTACTTAAAGCCACTTAATATAAAGTGGGATGAAAATGATTTCTTTTTTTCTTTTGAATATCATTTCATATCAAGTGTTCCTGTAATTTCAGCTCATTCATTTGTGACGGGTAAACTGTACTGTGTAAATATCTTGATGTTAAGATTCACTATATAAACTGCAGTGACGGGTTCAGTGCTCTATCAACGAGTCTGTGTTTCCCGAAACCATCGTTCTAACGAACATTCGCAAACAGCATCTCAGAGTTGTGTGTGTGAGCGACAGCATCTCAGAGTTGTGTGTGTGAGCGACAGCATCTCAGAGTTGTGTGTGTGTGAGCGACAGATCTCAGAGTTGTGTGTGTGTGAGCGACAGATCTCAGAGTTGTGTGTGTGAGCGACAGCATCTCAGAGTTGTGTGTGTGTGAGCGACAGATCTCAGAGTTGTGTGTGTGTGAGCGACAGATCTCAGAGTTGTGTGTGTGAGCGACAGCATCTCAGAGTTGTGTGTGTGAGCGACAGCATCTCAGAGTTGTGTGTGTGAGCGACAGCATCTCAGAGTTGTGTGTGTGTGAGCGACAGATCTCAGAGTTGTGTGTGTGTGAGCGACAGATCTCAGAGTTGTGTGTGTGAGCGACAGCATCTCAGAGTTGTGTGTGTGTGAGCGACAGATCTCAGAGTTGTGTGTGTGAGCGACAGCATCTCAGAGTTGTGTGTGTGAGCGACAGCATCTCAGAGGTGTGTGTGTGAGCGACAGCATCTCAGAGTTGTGTGTGTGAGCGACAGCATCTCAGAGTTGTGTGTGTGAGCGACAGCATCTCAGAGTTGTGTGTGTGAGCGACAGCATCTCAGAGTTGTGTGTGTGAGCGACAGCATCTCAGAGTTGTGTGTGTGAGCGACAGCATCTCAGAGTTGTGTGTGTGTGAGCGACAGCATCTCAGAGTTGTGTGTGTGAGCGACAGCATCTCAGAGTTGTGTGTGTGAGCGACAGCATCTCAGAGTTGTGTGTGTGAGCGACAGCATCTCAGAGTTGTGTGTGACAGCATCTCAGAGTTGTGTGTGTGAGCGACAGCATCTCAGAGGTGTGTGTGTGAGCGACAGCATCTCAGAGTTGTGTGTGACAGCATCTCAGAGTTGTGTGTGACAGCATCTCAGAGTTGTGTGTGTGAGCGACAGCATCTCAGAGTTGTGTGTGTGAGCGACAGCATCTCAGAGTTGTGTGTGTGAGCGACAGCATCTCAGAGTTGTGTGTGTGAGCGACAGCATCTCAGAGTTGTGTGTGTGAGCGACAGCATCTCAGAGTTGTGTGTGTGTGAGCGACAGCATCTCAGAGTTGTGTGTGTGAGCGACAGCATCTCAGAGGTGTGTGTGTGAGCGACAGCATCTCAGAGTTGTGTGTGTGAGCGACAGCATCTCAGAGTTGTGTGTGTGAGCGACAGCATCTCAGAGTTGTGTGTGTGAGCGACAGCATCTCAGAGTTGTGTGTGTGAGCGACAGCATCTCAGAGTTGTGTGTGTGAGCGACAGCATCTCAGAGTTGTGTGTGTGTGAGCGACAGCATCTCAGAGTTGTGTGTGTGAGCGACAGCATCT